TGGCGGTCTCTGTTCCTATAGGGGTCTGTCACTGACGCGTGGCGATCTCATGGCGGGGTCTGTCACGTGGCGGTCTCTGTTCCTATAGGGGTCTGTCACTGACACGTGGCGGTCTCATGGCGGTCTCTGTTCCTATAGGGGTCTGTCACTGACGCGTGGCGATCTCATGGCGGGGTCTGTCACGTGGCGGTCTCTGTTCCTATAGGGGTCTGTCACTGACACGTGTACAGTCTTTGCCCCAGCACACAGAAATCTGGAGTCGGGGGGAGGGCTCCAGCCTCGTGGAGGGGTACTGTGAGGTCACCCCCAGAATTGGGCTCTCCTGTGGGGGGCAGGGCTGACACCCCGCCACTTGTCCCCGTTCCACTTTCGGACCATTCATATATATATATCGGCGTTCTCCCCGATGTTGGAAGGACGCTGTGACAACACCGGGATGATGTCCATGTGTCCGGCCTGCTCTGTGTCAGGGTGGATTGTGAGGCTCCGCCCACTCCCCAGCGATGCGTCATCTCTGATGAATCCCAGCTCTGCTCCTGCACACCGCCGGGGCCACTCAGGATTTATTACTGATATCGGCGGCAGCGCTCAGACACCACGGAACCGCCGCCAACATTCCACGGAGGATCTGTAATCCGGGAGAAAATATTGTGTGCTCAGCCAATCGGATCTCTGAACTGAGAGAGAATCTGCGTCAGGGGCCCAGAGAGATTTTGAAGGGGCCCCACTCCATTCTACATCCCCTTGCATAGGAGGCCGGGAATCCTGCCGTGTGATTGGTGGGGAATGTCCCCTCTGCTCCCGGGGTCCCCGCTGACAGCTTAAGGTCATGTGATGCCTGCGGATGGGGGGGAGCGCCGGGCTGCCGCACCTTGTTAGCCAGGACGGTGAAGTAGTGCGGGTTTGGCCCCTGTACGGGCCCCGTGATTCATCCATCTGACAGGCCGGAGACACGGAGGGGATGAAATGAGCATTTTTTCCATTCCAGACGGATTATCCGATGAGAGAAGGCAGACCGAGCCGGGGAAGTGCCGAGACTCTCCGCAGAGCGAGCCCAGGTCTCAGCCATGACTTGATCCTCTGCAGATCATCACCCGGTGAAGGTCATCCTTGTCCTCCAGTCAACTCTCCCGAGGATCTGCGCTCTGATTGGCTGAGACTTTGTGCCATATTAATAGAGGAGGAAAGTTCCCGGAACCTGAATAATACATTTACCGCGGCGGAGCGACGCATCAATTTCCAGCCAGACCGGCGACCCCCCCGAAAATAGAGTGA